CTCAAAGCTCTGAAGTTGATGATTCCTTCCTTGAGTCATCTTTCATCTTTGGATTGTGAGTCATGTCAGTTTGGGAAACATCATAGAGTCTCTTTTAGTCCAAGAGTTGATAGTCATGTCTCGAGTCCTTTTTCTTTAGTTCATTTTGATGTCTGGGGTCCGATCAAAGTGATGCCATACAATGGCTATAAGTATTTTGTAATTTTTGTTGATGACTTTTCAAGGATGACATGGATTTATCTTATGAAATATCATAGTGAAGTGTTTTCTATTTTTCAAAAATTTTATGTTGAAATACGTACCAAATTTGGTGTTCATATTAAAATTATTCGCTCTGATAATGCCAAAGAGTACACCTCAATACCATTTCAGCAATACTTAGAGCACCATGGGATAATTCATTAAACGTCTTGTGCCTACAACCCACAATAGAACGGTGTAGCTGAATGGAAAAATCGACACCTCCTTGAAACTACTCGGTCTTTGATGCTTAATATGAATGTCCCAAAGCATTTTTGGATGATGTAGTCCTCACATCTTGTTTTCTCATCAAGCGGATGCCCATGTCCATCCTTGGAAGTCAATCCCCCTTCTCGGTGTTGTTTCCCACCTTGTCTCCATTTCCTCTCATCCCAAGAGTCTTTGGATGTGTTTGTTTTGTTCAAAACTTGGGGCCTGGTTTAGACAAATTAGATGCACGAGCTACTAAGTGTATCTTCCTTGGCTACTCAAGGACTCAGAAAGGGTATAAGTGTTATAACCCTAACTTCCATAAGTCATTTGTGTGTTCTGATGTCACTTTCTTTGAATCAGTTCCTTTTTTCTCGGATACTGTGGTTTCTTCTCCTTCCTCCGTAGTTCCTCTTCCTGTCCCTGTTGCGGATCCCCCTCCCGTGGTTCCCATTCTAGTTGCAGATTCACCTCCCATGCCAGATACTACTAAGAGGCCACCAATCAAACACGTGTATACTCATAGAAAAGCATCGACCCCTCTTCCAATTCAACCCCTGTCGATAGATCCTACCATTGCTTCTTCTCCGTTAGACCTTGATCTTCATATTGCCCTGCGGAAAGATAAACGCACTTGTACTTCTCATCCTATTTCACACTATGTTTCAGCTGCTCACCTTTCTGATTCTCATCGCAACTTTATATCATTCCTATCATCTGTTTCCATTCCCAAGACTGTCTAGGAAGCCCTTACCTCCCCAGGGTGGCGGCAAGCCATGGAAGATGAACTCTCTGTTCTACAACACAATCACATGTGGGAACTTACTGCTCTTCCTCCTAGTAAGCATGTTGTTGGGTGTAAATGGGTCTACACAGTGAAGTATCTTCCAGAAGACAGTGTTGAGCGGTTGAAGGCTAGGTTAGTGGCCAAGGGCTATTCTCAGCTGTATGGTGTGGAATATATGGAGACATTTTCTCCTGTGGCTAAAATTGGTCCAGTTCGGGTGTTAATTTCATTAGCTGCTATGTATGATTGGTCTCTTGTGCAATTGGACATCAAAAATGCTTTCCTACATGGTGATCTCATTGAGGAAGTGTATATGGAGAAACCGCCAGGGTTTGTTGCTCAGGAGGAGGATGGTAAGGTTTGTAGACTCAAAAAGACAATTTATGGATTGAAACAATCTCCACGTGCATGGTTTGGAAGGTTCAGTGAAGTAGTGAAAGAATTTAGGATGAAATAGTGTCAGGTAGACCATTCTGTGTTCAGCCATGACTCAAAAGATGGGAAAATCTTGCTAGTGGTGTATGTGGATGATATTATCATAACTGGGAGTGACAATAACATGATTAACAGGTTGAAGAAATTCCTACAGGACCACTTCAATGCGAAAGATTTGGGTAAACTGAAATACTTCATGGGAATAGAAATTGCAAGGTCAAGGCATGGAATTAACTTATGTCAAAGAAAATATGTTCTTGACATACTTGAAGAAATAGGACTGTTAAGTGCTAAACCAACAGAGACTCCTATGGAACTTAATGCCAAGTTGAGTGTTGATGCAGGTGAAGAGTTTGATGATCTTGGAAGATACAGGAGGTTGGTGGGAAAGTTGAATTATCTGACTATTACCCAACTAGATATATCATTTGCTGTGAGTATGGTGAGTCAGTTTATGCAACATCCTCAGATTCCTCATTGGGAAGCAATTCTAAGGATTGTTAGGTACCTGAAGGGTGCTCCAGGTCGTGGTTTGCTATACCGAAGTGGAGGGACTCTTGAAATAGTAGGGTATACAGATGCTGATTGGGTTGGTTCTATATCAGACAGGAGATCGACTACAGGGTATTGTACCTTCCTTGGTGGCAATCTTGTAACTTGGAAGAGCAAGAAACAAATAGTGGTGGCAAGGAGTAGTGCAGAAGTTGAGTACAGAGCTAATGACTCATACCACATGTGAACTAGTATGGTTAAAGAACTTGCTACAAGAGATGGGGTTCTCGGTTGACAAACCCATGAGATTATTCTGTGATAACCAAGTTGCTGTTCACATCTCTTCCAACCTAGTCTTCCATGAGAGAACCAAACATATTGAGGTCGATTGTCACTTTGTGAGAGAGAGTGAAAAGTGGAGTGATAACCACATCTCATGTGAGCTCAGGAAATCAGTGGRCARATCTCTTTACAAAGGGATTGTCTCGGGGCAGAGTAGATTATATTTGTGACAAGCTGGAACTATATGACATATACTCTCCAGCTTGAGGGGGAGTGTTAGAATACACAAATCAGGGGTATTTTGGTCATTTGGGTTTATCTATTTAAGAGTAAAAGGTCTATTTTATTTAAGTTTAAGTTATGTGTCCCATCACTTATGAGGGACAATATGGTCTTTCTTGTAACTATGTTATTGGAGATAAATACAAGTGGGTCGACTAGAGGTGGACTGATTTTCCTAATTTGGCCGAACCCTTCTTCTTCTTTCTCTTCTTCTTCTTTCTCCTCTTCTTCTTTTCTACTTTAACCTAGAATCGAATAGGGATTTCACAAGTTTCATCAATAAAAAAAAATGTCATTGGCAAACATGCATCATGGAACTTCCTCCTAAATATGTTAGTTAATTCATCTATAATTAGTGTAAAAAGATAAGGGTTGAGTAATGAATCTTGGTGAAGACTCATCATAAATGTAAAATATGAAGTCTCTACCACTAGTGTTCTAAATATTGATTGGTGTTTCCCCATGCATTTATGCAATTAGGTTTATATACTTATTTTAAATCTCTTTCTTTTTCAAAACCCACCATATTATCTCTTTAGGAACTCTATCATAACCTTTTTCTAAATCAATGAATACTATATGAAGGTCTTCATTTTTTTCTTTGAACTTTTCTATTAATCGTCTCAAAAGAAATATGACTTCCATGGTTAACATGAAGCTAAATTGGTTCTCTAATACACTAGTTTCAAATTGTAATCTTTGTTCAATTATTCTCCCCAAAAGTTTCACAGTGTGTCTCATGTAATGGGTTTAATTTTTTAATAGTTATTACAATTTTGTTCTTAAGTATAAGCACCATATTACTATCTCTTCAATCATCAAGCATTTTTTCTTCTTTCACTATCTTATTAAATAACTTAGTTAACCATAACAAACCTATTTCTCCCTACCTTTTCACACTTCGATTGAATCCCATTAGGTCATAATGTCTTTTCCTTCATCTTATTTAGTGCCTCTTTTATTTCAATAGGGCTAACTCTACGAAGACATTATTTTTAACACTATTAATATTGAAAAAAAACAAAAATAAAATAACTATTTTAATAATTAAAATTTATCAATTGCATATGATATGTATTATAAATCTAAATAGATTTGATATATTTTTAAATTAAGGTTATATAAATTATCAATTAATAAATTGATTTATAATAATAATATATAAATTACTTGCGTAAATAAAACTGTTGTTTACAAAATAAACATAACTTACAATATTGCTTTTTAGGAAGTTATATAGTCACTATCCTTACACATCATACATATAATTTGTATATGGCTGCCATATAGTATGCATCTTGGACTCCTTACTGTGTTGATTGTTATGTCTTTCTATAACTATTAAAGTATGTGTTGCTTGTGTGATCATACCTAATTTATAATTATTTTAACAATAGATTTAGTTTTATTAATGTATTTGCGACTAGTGAGAATTTTCTTTATGTTTCAGTTTATATACATACCATCTTTCCACCATATTTACCTATCCAAAGCATATCGTGATATGTATCCACTCCCAACTTTACCAATACCCTTTGCTATACCAATAATTTAAACCTTCTACAAAACATATATGCCCAATATGGTGATTCTTATAATGTGACTGTGAACCATTAAAAACGTATTTCTTTCATTTTATACTGTATGCATATCCATTTGAGCCTTAAAATCATTGGTATTGATGTATTTTGAGATTTGTGTGAGTTCTTTTTTCTTTGAAATAAGATTCATTCATGTGTATCTTAAGTTATCCACCATATCCACACATTTCCAAAGCAAATCCCTATACTAACTCTTAAGATTGCTTTATGAATAAAAAAAAAAAACTCTTAAAAATTGCTTTATGTATAAAAAAAAACTCTTAAAAATTGCTTTTATGGTACCAATATTTTGACATACTAACTAGTTTTTATATTTCTTAATTTTTTACATATCAAATAAAAAATCATTTTTTTATATGTATATATTTTTATTTTTTTAAAACATTTGGCTCACAATCAAGCCTGAGCCAAGCCGAGCCGAGCTCGAGCTTATGAGCTTTTGACTCGAGCCAAACTCGAGTTCAAGTCTCTAGCTCAAATCGAGTTCGAGCCTCATACTTTGTTGGTGAACCGAGGCTCAAATACCTAGATATTCGGCTCGGCTTGAATCCACTCCTAAGGACAAATCATTCTCAAAGGCATTGATGAAATATTCTCAAAACCTTCTCAAGATGAACGCTGCTGGAAGAAAGTTGAGAGAAAAATGTGGGAGTTGCGAATTTTTAGAAAAATTAAGTCAAAAGGGCAAAATGTGGGGTTCAATAAAGTTAACTGACAGCATATCAATGGCAGGGCAAAGTGTTGGAAACCAGAAGTTTCGGGGGTCTTTGTCACAAAACAAAGTTCAAGAGCCTAAGTGTCACCACCCCCCAAGTATAAGGTAGATGTCTGTAAGTTACCCTAAAATTAAAAAGAAAAGACTGATTATAGGCCATATATCAATAGATCAGTAACCACGTTATTTCTGAATGTGTCCAATATCCATTCTTCTGTCCCCTCTTATTTGGTGTTCTACAAACGGCAAGAGTCCCAACTAAGATGCAAGGCCTGTACATGTGAGTCACAGCATCATCATTCACAGAAGAGTTTTCACAGTTCCCTTATCAGATCGAGTTAAAGAGAGTGTTCACAGTTATCCCATCAGATTGAGTAAACCTTTTTTGGCCCAGCCAATTTCCTTTGCCATAGCAAGAAAATATGGCAGCTATGACACCACTACATCCTTTCCATTCTTATAGGTGCTTCTGTATCATCATCATCATCATCATCTGATCTTTGTCCAAGTTATTGGAGTTTCCCACATGAATCCTATTACTCCATTCCACTCTACTAATAAATCTTCTGCTAAAAGCAGATGACCACAGATAGTAATTACCAACTACAGTTGATGCAGTGCTGTCATCCATAGGAGGTAATTACCACCTACATATTTCCCTAGTATAGTCAATTCAGTGGTTTACAGACCCTGAGATAAACCCTATCAAAATTAGTTAACTTAATTATCCTAGGAAAGTGGAAATGGATGTAGTTGGCCTTTGAACGTAAAAAGAAGCCAGTACAAACAGCACTCACTCTCATCTCATCTGCACTGTGAACTCTCAGTCTCATCTTCAAGTTCTTTTATGCTCTGAACTATATCTTGAACTCTTTTTGATAGATGTTGAGTGTGGTCTTCTACATCTTTCAAGATCATGTTTAGCTGTTCCTGATATGCTGCACAACGCCGTTGGCATCGCCGTTTTTCATTGTATAACTCAAGGGACAATTCTCGAATTTTCTTATCTTTCTCATCCTGTATCACAGAAAAAAAATGGCAAAACAAAATTAGGCTGCTGCAACAAAGGGGAAAAATACAAGTGCTTTCATGAGGTATGATTCACCATCAGACAGCTAAACCAATCTAGACCAGGTTTGGCAGTTTTCAAAAGACCTCTTACATACTTGTATGTTCATATGTGCATATAATGTGTTCAAGGGAAATTTATATTGTGTTTACAGGATAGCTGTGACATACGACAATCCAATTAAAAAAAATCTAACATAACAAGAGGAAGGTTTCATGGATCTACTAACACTGAATTAGGAATTTATATCCTTTGCTGCTAGAATGGTTAGATTATTTATGCAAGGATGAAAGTATCGTTATCAGGTATCATATCAGACAACATGAATACGGATACGGATACGGATACGGTGGATATGGACGAAAAATATGGAAATGCTAGGGAAATGCACAGATTTCGGACACCTGTGGAAATGAGGAAAAAAAAAAAAAGGTATTCAATCACTTGAAACACCGGATACGCATGTTCATGCATATTGGGTGTATCAATATTTTGAACCATGGGTATCCTATATAATAATAATATGCTTGTAGCATGCTTTCATATCTAGTTTTTTTTTTTTGAAAGATAAATAGAAAAAGAGAATAACAAGACGCTAATACTGACTTACAACCAATGACACAATAAAGACAAACAACAAAAACAAAGAACCAAAAGCACCAATTTCGGACACCTCCACAAGCTTCGAGACTACACAAGACTCATGCAACCAACTCCTAATCCTCCCCTCTGTCAATATCCACATCCCACATCTCTCCTCCCTCCCCACTTTCCACTTTCTCCAAACCTTCTTCCCTCCTCTCAAACTCCTCAAAGGCTTTCCTAGCAAAGTCCTCTCCTCCGCAAAAAAACATGCCAGGATTTTTGCCAACCTCAACATTCTTCTCTTCAATCTTCTCTATAGAAAGCTTTCCAGACCTCTCCACCCAATCATCCAGACTTCTATATCATAATCTCTCACTTCAGAACTGGAGTCAATTCCATTTTCTAGTTTTTATAGCCAAGTGTCATTTCTGAAGACTAACATATACACATTTTTTATAGTATGAATTGTTATAAAAATACCATTTTACATATTCTAGAAGTGTATTCTATAGAATATACCTAGAAGTATCTGGTGTAATATCGGGTATGCATTGTGCCCAACACTAGGTATCTGGGTATCATAGCTCAAAGGGCCTACTTGTAATGTAAATATTATGGCCCTAAATATGATATTACTCTTTTGGGGATGGAAGCATTCAGTTAGAAACCCTGTACATTTGTGACCTCTTCCTATTGAACCAAGGCAGCCCAGTGCACGAGGTTCCTGCAGAGGCTGTTTCCAAGATTTGAACCCTGGTCACCCAGGTCACAATGGAGCAACCCAACTGTTGCACCAAGGCCCACCCTCGACCACTTACTATTGAACTGTTATTTCTTTTTTGTTTTGAACTACACAACAGAACTAAGGGCAGAATACTATATGGGTGATCAGATATCTATATTTGGGATACCATAAGCGTTGCTGTTAAGACATATCATCTGGTTACTTCATAGCAGTTGTTCATCTGGAAAAATAATTTTCCTATATATAGCCTAGCGCAAGTATGTAACATTATTTATCAGATTCAATGGTTCAAACTTTGCCATTTAAAATTTCCATTTTTGCTATTTTGTTGAAGGCAAAGGACTGAGAGAAACCAGACTGGATGAATCTGCTTCCAAATTGATGCAACAATGAAGGGATAAAATTGCTAACATCTCTTGGATTTTAAGTTTGTTGATCCCAATAGTGGTATAACCATGAGGGGTTTCAGACTTCCAAGGATATGTGAAAATATCTTGAGAGAGTATACCAGCAATCTAACTTGCTAAAAAGCCCCACTTAGAGATGAATATCTTCTCATACAGCTAAGCTCAAAGGATGTATAATTTCTTGAATTTAGGTTGAGAATCAAATGGCTAGCAGTGTGTAAAATAAAACTATTGTATACAAACTGAAGAAAATTCAAGAAAGGAAAGTGCAAAATTGCATCCTGATTACAAAGTTGTCAGGCATAGCATGTTGAACCAAGGCACACCACCAAAAATAGACACTATCCTCAGTGAACTACTCAGGGAGGAGATTTTTTATTATAACTCAGGCTACTCTGGAAGGGAAGAATGGCAACAAAGTGTACTCTTGGCCACCAACAAGAATACATCAACAGAACTTTTCTGTGTAGTGTCATGAATGCAAGGAATTTGGACACCAAGTATCCCTCGGTAAGGGGGAAAACATGGTTCTATTGTTAACAATATATTAGCTAAGTAAGCGATTTTACCGCCCAAGAAATTTGGTTAAAAACATATCAGGCAACATTTCAAAGCCCATCAACTAATACATCTACTTCTTCAGGAGATCATCCTGACCTTTATTTCTGAGATGTGTCAAATGGTCCAGAGTACCGTATCTTTTATTTTATTTTTTTTTTATGGTTGTCCAGAGTACTGTATTTTCCAGTGTTTAGGAAACCAGACCGGACCGGCCAATTGGACCAGTTGAACTGTGACCTGGGACCTTGTACAGTTCATTCACACCCCAATAACTGTATTTGCTAAAAAGCCAGTGAAAACTGGCTGACCGGTTGGTTTAACCAGAAAACCAGTGAACTAGTCCTGGTATCATGAAACCGCCTGGGTCCTTAAATAATTGAAATTTTAAAATGTGGTTAACAAGACTTGAACCCATGACCTCTTATTTTCATATATGGCTTAATTACCACTAATCCACCTCATTATTTATGATAATCAATGACTATTTACTGTACATATTACTTTATTATGCACATGTTTTAAAGAAAATGTAAATACTTGAATAGAATGTTAAAAGTTGTGAAATATATTATATATAGTATTTATATGGCCATCCATCCACCATATCTAAATATATTAGAAGTTGTAAAATATATTATATATAGTATTTATATGACCTATAGTATATATACATACATACATACATATATATGCCATCACAGTTCAACCCTATTCGAACCTCTGACTCGTGAACCTCTCCCTTCTCTAGTTCCGTGCCTGGTCCGGTTCCCTGAACATTGGTATTTTTTACAATCAATTCTGCCTTTTTAGGCATAGACACATTCGGAAAGTCAGCTCACTGTCACACCCCCAAAGCTTTTATAGGCAAAGGAACCTTTGGCTAAGAGGTTTAGTGGTGGTTATGGAGTTCATCTGGAGCAGTCTGGTGGGCCTAGAGGTGTCTGGAAGGGTCTAGACAGGCTCTAGGGAATTCTAGAGTATTTTAGAAGAGTCTCTAGAAGCTTCAACCAAAGATGGGATGTGTGGTAGTCATGAGAGGTGCAAATGTGTGGTGGAGGTGCTATCTGACAGAATAAGGAGGTAATGAATGGACGACCTAGATTGCATCCCCTTAGGGTAGTTAAAAGTCCTATATGTAGAGATGATTAGTGTGGTCCCCACCTGTTTAATGTTTAGTTTTTCTCTACCCCCAATGGCCATCATGGCTGACTGGGCCCATTCCAAGTAATTTGATCCGTCAAACTTGACAGTTGTAATAACCTGAAATGTGTTCTCGGACATGTTACCAGAACCTCCAGCCCCCCAAACACCACCCCCTTGGCTCTTAAACTCCATTCTTGTCGAGGTAATGGTCAAAAAACACCCCTTTTAGCACTGAGACAAAGTAATTGAACCCAGAATTTGTTAACAGCCGACCTAGAAGGGTAAAGTAGGTTCGGTAACCACCCAGTAATATTAGGACAGCTCTGTTGTTTCCCAGAAAACTAAATCACTTGGTCTGGAAAGCTGTAACTGATTCAACTGCTGCCCTAGAATTGGCAACAGTAAAAAAAAATTAGGGTTTTAATCCTAGAACTAGTCGTAGGTCAAGAAAAAACCCCAAGGACTCAGGAGAACAGGGAGATCTCTCAGCCGCACCTCTTAGAATAACCAAAAAAAGGTTCTTTTTATAGATCGATCTCAAAAGAAAACAACTTACTTCAGAAAAGTCTGGCTGCCACCTTCAAAAACAAGTCTGAACCCTAATCTTGAAGAATCTTCCCTTCCTCTGATTCTTCCTGACTGCTGGACACTCTCCAAGGCTCTACAGTCCCTTGAGTAGTAGCCACACACTGCCAGCAACCTCCAAGAATCAGCCAATGGTCTTGTTTTGCTGAAAACTTCCAACCCTAGGAAGTTCTCATGTAGTCGGCCTGATTAGACTGACATGAGAAGCCCTAGGTTGGCTCCGATACCAGGTTGTCAAGTAGGACTGTAATCAGCCCTAGATATAATGCGCAGAATCAAGAAAAGATCTGAGAATTAGAGAGGAAGAAGGAGAGAAGAAGAGAAGGAGAAAACGAAGAGGAGAAATCAAAGAATGTGGGTGATCAGTTTGATTGTCACCCCACTGCTATTTATATTAACAATTAAAAGATAAGGAAAAAACCTGAATTACCCCTCTACTGTTTAAATAAATAACTACCAACAGAAAAATGTTGGCTGAAACTAAACATTAAACAGGTGGGGACCACACGGGACCACACTAATGATCTCTACACTATAAATAGGGGACTCCTCCCTCATTTGCACACAAGCACCACAAACCCAAGCATTCAAGTGTCCAAGAGTCCATGGAGTCACCCAAGTATTGTAAGCTTTGTAAGGAAAGTTTTAATGAGAACACCATTGCTTCCCTTGATCTTTTGAGTTTGGTTCTTTGTGTGCCCTTGGGTACTAAGGGCTACACAAAGGGTGTGTGTCTTCACGTCACCCTAGCAAAGGCAGTATACTAGGCAAGCAAGCTGACGCAACCTATGGGACAAGTGGAGTGCCACACAACATAGAGACTGAGAGAGCCGGTTCATGATATTACTCGCTTTTTCCTGTTAACAAGTTCTAGGTTATTGGTTCTGGTGCATCCAACCACAAGACCAAAGCATCATTTGGT